TGCCGCCTCAGGGTCCTCCCGCCCCGGGCGGCATCGCTGCCTCAAGGCCCTCCGGCGCCATCGCCCCTTCATTCCCCTCACGGCGCAGCCCGCCGGCACCGACACATTTCAGGGGTTTTTCTCCTCATAGCGTGAAGATTTGTGGCCCAGAATTGCTCTTTCCACACGTCCCCCCTCGTCATCACCACACGCACCCCAAGGTGGGTAGTTTTATGCTTAATTCTTTCTCTTCCACTGCTTTTCTCCTTTGCAGGGGTTGAAGCCGCTGCCTCCCGCTCTCCTCACAGCATGGAAAATACCCAAACGCGCTGGAAAAAAAAAAAAAAAAAAGCCAAACCAAAACCCCAAAGCACCCGAGGATTGATTTATCTTAAGAGCCGGAGTGGCGCGGAAAAGAAGCCGTCGCCGGTCGCCTTGTTCTCCACGACAACCTGCCCGCCATTGGGTTAATTAAAAGCATGTACTTGGTGTGATCAGACCGTAAAAAAAAAAAAAAAAAAAAAAAAAATTTCCTGTAACATCTAAACGCTCGTTGTTGGAGGCTGCAGCCAAGGTACCACGTACGCTTTAATATAATTTTTTTTAATGTTGCCTTACCTTTTTGCTCCACCACAGTGTTGTTACAGGCTACATTATAACATTGCCCCTTCTTTGTTAAAAACCACATGCCTAAAATAATGCTATTTTTTCCTGGAATTACAGATTTAGGCCCATACAGATGCTCTTTTATTTCTACATATATAGAAATATTTCTATATATTTACTGTATATTTATGTATGTATGTATCTTCTTTTTCTAGGGACTGATTACAGAATATAAAATAAACCCACACACCTAAACCTCTATGATTTAATTATATATAATCACTGTAATTTTGGTCCATATATATATATGCTTGATTTTATATATATATTACCTTTGTTTTCCTCCATTGGCTTTCTACTACAATATATCCTAAAAGCAGGAGAGAAAAAAAATCCATAAAAAAAACCCCAAAAAGCAACCCATCTCTTTTTTACAGTCCACGGTGGAAGTTTGTGCCTGAATGTTTTATTTGTTCCACAGAGATGTAGATTTTCCTCGGGAGATTTGGGGAGGATTTTTTTTTTTTTTTTAAATTAAAAGAGGAAAAAATACACTCAGAAAAACAACAACAGGAGACCCAAAAAGGAAAAAAAAAGCCACGCAAAACCAAACCCCAGTAAATTTGAAGCTGCAAATGCAATCAAATAGTCCGGATCAGACAATTCATTGCAACAAAAAGAGAGGACAAATTAGTTCAACCGAAATGGCAGGGCTTTGCTGTAGATCCGGGAGGAGGGATCAGCTCCTTTATCCCACCATCTAGCGCTCCAAACACCACCATTTTTTTTTTTTTTTTGTGCTTTTTGTTTTGGGGCGTTTTATTTAAAGCTAAGCAAGGCTGCAAAACCCCACCGAGCCGGGCTGCAAAGCCGCTTGTGGGCTTAAGGTTTCTCTCCTCTCCCCCAAGCTTGGCTGCTTATTCCAGAAGTTTCTACGGGGGAGGGGAGCACCCACTGCAGAGCCTTTGCCGCAGCGCCGGGCAGGCGTGGTCCTTGCCGCCGGGGGAGGAGGAGGATGCAGAGGATGCACCACCTCTCCCTGCCTCCCCTCCCCGGCTGGCAGCCTCTTTCCAAGCCTCTCCCCCTTGTTAGATTTCCCCCATCCTTGAAAAAGGTGCTGGGAGGTGTTTGCAAGGGGGTTTTCGCCGTTTTTTTTTTTAATTCGTTTTTTTCCTCCCCTTTTGCTAAATAAATTAAAAGCAGAGATGTCTCCTGATGGAGATGGATGAGGCCGTTGCTCGCTCGCATGCGCTGCTGCAGCCTTGATCTGGCGTAGCGAGGGTACCGATGGCAGAAGTGACCTTTCCCAGGCGGGGGGGGGGGGGCTTTCCCCCCCCCGCCCCGCCACGCTCCCTCTTGGAATTCATTTTAAATAGCAGGGTTATTATTTTTTATTTTCTTTCCCCCTTCCCCTTAGAGAACAGCTTGCTCCTTCAGTGATTTTTGGTTTTTTTCTTGGTAGCCTGTGGGTTGAAGCTTCCTCATGATCGTTTTTTTTTTCTTTGTGTGTGTGTTTTGAATTGCATTTTAAAATTGCCCAGCTGGAGACAAGTCTTGATTAGAGCTGGAACAATAGCTCCATTTTATTAATAATGGGAAGGATTTACAATCCTACAGCACCTTCCTTGGAAGGCTTTCAAAATAATTTGCAAACACTCACAAATTTAAGATTTCACAGCCCTTGTCTGTGAGGTGGGTAAGTATTTTAATGGTGCCACCACCAAAAATCAGGTCGGTGGCAAATCTCCATTTCTGAGTGCTTTAAAAAATGACTGGTTTGGTGGGGTTTAGGGCTGCAAAGCTTGGGGGGGGGGGAGGTTGGTAAATGGGCCTGGCTAAAAGCTGTAACCTAAATCTGTTCAGTGTTCTTTATAAATGCAGAGTATTTTGCTACGTCCTGGGAACTGGGCTGTTACTTCTCCGCCTGCTCCACGCAGACCTTCCTTCTTTGCCGGAGTGAAGCTGTGGACTTGCGTGCTTATCAGTAAACATCTGCTTATAGATTTTTTTTTGAATTTTTTTTTTTTTTTGATTCATTACCTTTTTGTAGTCCCCAAGTGACCTCCTTTAGTGCTGGCTCTGCTGTGGTTTGACCACGGCTTTGCATTAAAGCAGGCTTGCTAGTGCTAATGTGTCTCCCTGCGAGCCAGAATGACCTTGCTTGAGGGACTGGGCCCACCGAGCTAATGCAGATGCTATGCTTCGATTGCAGAACCCTGCATGCCACTTCTTCCCAGCGCATCTCTTCCCTGACCCAGGTAGTGTAATATTATGGGTGAAAGCTGTATTCTGCCTTATTTTTTTCCTTTTTTTTTTTCCTTCCCAGGGAAATAGAGGATTGTTTCTGTAACCCCTCTCCGCAGCAGATACTTTCTTTGTAAGTATTGTGTACATGCAGGGATCTCAGAGCCATCTGGGCAGTGGGATCTGGCCTTGCCGAGGAGCCTAAGGCACAGTTGCTCTGGTTGTGTAAGCATGTGTTGTACACAGGCCACAGAAACCCACGATGTTTCTGTGGTTCCTCCTGTCTGGATAGCCTGAGCAGGTCCCAGGACTTCCCCTTCCCACCGCTTACTGTTTCACAAAAGCAAAGGCTGGTGCTTCTGGAAAAAGCTCTGCCTTGTGGCCTTTAAAAAAAAAAATATAAAGAAAAACTGCTGTGGATTAGTCATCCTTATTTTTAAAGGAAGCTGTGTTTGCCAGTCCTATCTGTATAACGCATGTGCGTGTGAGATATTAACTATTTGCTTTATTTGCGAAGGCTGGTAATGTGCTCTGGTCTCTGTGTTTTGGAGCAGTGCCACCGAGACTCCCGTGGAGCTGCTGCTGGCAGGTGGAAAAAAACTGACGGTCCAGCCATTTTCCTTTTTCAATGCTGGTATCTCTGCAGCGGCAGGTGTGCAAATCTAACAACAGCAAGCAAGGACAGATGAGCTGTCTTCTGGGGTCACTTCTAACTCCAGTGAAGAAACCCTGGTGATTGATTTTTTTTTTTTTTTCTTGCCTGTGGTAGCTTTTACTCTAAGCTCCACTGTATCTTGCAAGAAGTCTGAGTTTGACCCTTTTGGATGCTAAAAATGGTACTGGTTTTAAACGTTAGTGGTTTTTTCCCCTTCCCTGTGATCATGTAGAAGAGCAAGGGGAGCAATTAAAACAGTGTAGCAAAGGACAGCTCCCTCCCCCTTTCCCCTTTCAGAAAAACCCCCAAACCTTCCAGAGTTGTGTGCTCTTGAACTGCTGCATAGGCAGAAAACATACAATGCAGTTGTCAGCATTGTGCTGATGTGTGGCACGTTTTAAAAAAAAAAATACACACAAAAGGGGTGGGGAGAACGGTTGCCTCCAGGGAGTAAAACTGTGGGGCCCCTTTCCCTCCAAGCAAACAGCCTGACGCGTGATAGCGTATTATTCCTGATTTTGCTCAGGCAAAGGCAACAGGCTAACGTTGGAGGTAGCGTTGCAACGTCCTAAACTGTGTTAGGGAAGATCAGGGTCCCCTTGAACTATTTTTTTTTTTTTTTTTCTGTGAACTTGCTCCTGTGCGATGCTGCTGTTTTATTACCTGAGTCTTCAAAGTCGTGCTTGCTCACCAGGAAGAAGGAAGACGCTTCCTTATTGGGTGCAATTTCTTTTGTTGTGTTGCAGAAGGTAATAAAAAGCACCTGGTGCTGGTCTCTCCTAGGTCACACATGACTTCAAGGCGCAGAGTCTCGGTGATCATTAGCGTGCAAGGAGCGTTAGGTATCAGCGCCTTCTCATTAGCCTCCCTTAATGAGAATATTGGCATCGGTGTTGCATGAATGCCTCCAGCTGACCAGTGGAGAGGCCCTTCCCTGCTAAGCTGGAGGAACACCTTATGAGAAATACAGGGATTTTACTGCCAGTGAGGCGGTCTGGTTGCTGCATGATTTGTAGTGCAACTATGACTTCATGCTTTTCTGGCAAAAATGTAGCAAGAGGGTAAATAGGAGGTGTCTGGGCCAGATTTCATGCTCTGCTCTGTGTCGGAGAGCTGGGGAAAGTTGGTGTGTGGTGTATGTGAAAATTGCCAATAGCTCCTGTGCCTAAAGCCTCGCCTGTACTTGAAGTAAACCAGCACGGACAGTGATATTAATTTTATTCTCTTGTTAGGGATGTATTGGTTTGGAGATACGCCTTGTGCTTGTCAGAGGCCTTCGCTGGCACGGAGGAAGAGAGGACCAAGAAGCTGGCTGTTGGGAGTGTTTCCACGGTTTTCAGGTTGGCACGCCCTGTGGGACTCGGAATTACTTTTCTTTGGCAGTTTAGGACAAACGAGTGAGAATTACCTTGTGAGCGCTGAACTTTTACCACCCTCTGCTTTGGACTGAAGAGTTACTACATCCACGAGGTTTCCAAGCTAAACAAAACCTGAATTTCCGGTGCCAAAAAGCAAGCGTGTGCGATAAAAACCTCCACTCCTCCTCCATGAGGGGGGAAACCGCAGTCTTTCAAGCTTTCCTATTATCCCAAGGAGTTAAAAAGCTGCATTGTGACATCTCCAGAGGTAAAATGAAAGCCAAAGCTCGCTGAGAAACTGTTCTCCTATGCTCCAGAGGTGTGTTTGAGCATGCAGCAGGCCTTGATGCATGAGTATTTTTCTTTTGCGCTTTTCTCTGAAGTGAAAGAGCAATAACCCTGCAAATGCGCTCCGTTTAAAACATGGTCAGGTTGCTTCGGTATCAAAATGGTGTTTGGCGAAACCAAAGCTCTGATGGTGGCTGTCTTGGTATTAATTTTGTGCTGGGTGTGCTGGTCAATCTGATGGGGAATGTGGGGAAGAGCAGCCTTTAGCTCACAGGTTTGGACTGTGGGGTTTGTGTTAAACCCTTGTCCCACAGCATCTCCAGCGTAATTGCTGTGATTTTTCCTGGGTGTTGCACGTAGGGCCTTTATGAAGAGGCCATGCAGCAGCTGGGTGTTAAAAATATTAAAAATGGCAAAGTACAGGTGGATTGATATCCTTTGCAGTTGTTTTCTTCAGGTATCACATCACATGGGGCTGCCTTTTTTTTTGTTTTGTTCTCTTTGGGTTTTTTTCCCTAAAATGTAATATTTTGCAGCCTGGAAGACCAACGTCCTCTCTGTCTAGCTGGTGACATGCCCCGTGTTTGGGAAAAACCCTTGCGAGGTGAGCAGGTCCAGCACTTTGTTACATGGTCACACAGACATTGGGGGGCAAGGGGAAGCAGGGCAGAAGCCGGCCCTAGGATATTTCTAATTTTTCGTAACAACAAGCAAAAAAATAGTATTAATTCCAGTACATCTACTCTGTGGTGAGCAAGGGTAAGCTCTTTTGCAGTCCTGCGATGGCACGTGGTGTTTTGGTTGTGTGGCTCAGCAATTGCACTGTACTCTGCTGCGGAAGCAACGTCTGTTTTTGTGTAGCAAAGTATTTTGAAAACAGAAGTGTGCTTTTATATACATACACAAACGGGTTCAGTGTAAACCAAATTCCAGGGGCTCTGAGCTATGTTTAATGTGCCGCAGAAGGTAACTGGTGCTAAGGAATTGGCTGGATGGTTGCATCCAGAGGGTGGTGGTCAACAGCTTGATGTCTGGATGGAGACCATTGACGAGTGGTGTCCCTCAGGGGTCTGTACTGGGACTGGTGATGTTTAATATATTCATCAATGACATAGACAGCGAGATTGAGTGTACCTTCAGCAAGTTTGCAGATGACACCAAGCTGAGTGGTGTGGCTGACACACCAGAAGGATGGGATGTCATCCAAAGAGACCTGGACAAGCTGGAGAGGTGAGGCCTGTGTGAACCTCATGAGGTTCAACAAAGCCACGTGCAGGGTCCTGCACCTGGGTTGGGTTAACCCCCGGTATCAATACAGGTTGGTGGAAGAAAGGAGCGAGAGCAGCCCTGCCGAGAGGGACTTGGGGGTACTTATGGATGAAAAGCTGGACATGAGCTGGCAATGTGCGCTGGCAGCCCAGAAGCCAACCCTGTCCTGGGCTGCATCAGAAGAAGTGTGACCAGTGGGGTGAGGGAGGAGATTCTGCCCTTTGGTCCTGCTCTGGTGAGACCTCACCTGGAGCCCTGCATCCAGGTCTGGAGCCCTCAGCACAAGGACATGGAACTGTTGGAGTGGGGCCAGAGGAGGCCACAAAAATGATCCAAGGTCTGGAGCACCTCTCTTATGAGGCCAGGCTGATGGGGATGTTCAGCCTGGAGAAGAGAACACTGCAGGGAGACCTGATTGTGGCTGTTCAGTACTTAAAGGGGGCCTATAGGAAAGGTGGGGAAAATCTTTTTAGCGGGGCCAGCTGTGACAGGACAAGGGGTGATGGTTTTAAACTAAAACAGGGCAGGTTTAGGCTGGATAGACGGAAGAAATTCTTTACAAAGGG